ATTGTTAGGTCCAAAGAAGTGAATTTATCTCGCATTTGTGTGAATAAAGATATGTAATTGTTAATTTGCTGGGCAGAGTTTATCAAGCAGTGAAGATGATGACATTGCCTGAAAACAAAAACCAAAAGAAAATCAGAAGAGGAAGAAGAAAGGAAAAAACTTTATTGACTCAGGTAATGTTTTAAGGTGAACACTAACAGTTTCAAAAGGAACAGATGTTGAGACTCTACACAAACTATTACACCTCTGTTTTTGTTTTAATGGTGTACTGTGCTGTACAGTGTCCTTGTCAATTCCAAATGCAATTTGCTTTTTTACAAAAACATGATGTAAAAAGATTCACATAATGATATGTACTACATCACAATGATGTCCTGACCCTAGTTCTAAATTAATCTTACATCTCTGTTAGATTCTGATGAAGATCCTCTTCTTCTAAAAATCAGGTATGTGATTTGTTTTTTCAATTTTGTTCCATTTTATACAGTTGTAATTAACCTATGACCCTAATAACACCACTGAGTCAAGAGTCAAGGAAATGATCACCAACTATAAAAGCTCTTGATTATTAAACAAATTCTCCTTGTCAGCACCTTGGAAAATGCATAGAGAACACTGTATGGAGAATATGGATCCTGATGTCAGGTTGTATTCAGAACTTGGTTCTCTTTCACTCATCTCTGTTTCAGAAAAGCCACATCAGTAAAGAAGGAGGAGAGTTCAAAAGCTAATAAAAGTAGAAGAGCAACCAGCCTGGACTCAGGTAAGGAAATTATGTCTACTTATTGAGGGTACCTGATACTTTTTACATGAGAGGTGATGTGGAGACTTTATTTTAATGGGAATTGTGATATCATCTTTTTCGTATAATTATGTATATTTTTGATTTTTTATGGGATTAACAGTTTTATTAACAGGTTAGAAAGAGAGAAAATATGAATTTGGTTTAATTTTTTTCCTTTGGTTTTATTTATCTTCAAAATGTGATCGTTTTGAATTTCATGTGAATGTGAAAACGTTTTGGATACTTTTCATGATGAATAAGATGGCCAAATATTTTTATTTGACTGGGTTCGACACAAGGGTTTTAGCAGGCTCTGCTTATTGATGGAGTGGGAGGGCTGGATAGGGAAATATTTAGTGTGAGGTGAGCTTGAGGTACATTAAGATGATGTCAGTTTTTTTAACATCACACATAACCTTTAACATTGCTTATCATTATGTGTTAGCTTGCCAAAGAAAACAAATCCATCTGCTTCATTCAGGGTTCTGCACACTTACCATTAGACCACTCTGCTTTGAATAGAATTTGAATATTATAGCACTTGAGTTATATTTTGATGTGGTTTCTAAAGATGAGGAAGAAGTTGTGCCCAGCAAAATAAAAAGTCTGCAAAACAGACAGACAATGTAGCTTGTAAAGAGGTCTAGCAAGTTAAAGAGAGGTATCATCCATCATTCTCTTTCATTATATTTGACATTTCAGTACCAAACCATGGTGTTTGTTTAGGACATAAGATTCTTCTAAAATTATCAAGTTAAATTTTGTTTATCTATTTGTTTGTTTGTTTTTTCCTTTCTTCCATCAAGCATTGAGAATGTTAAACCTGTCATAGGACACTGCTCTTATGCTAATACATTTAACCCTTTGACTATGAAGAGTGACTAGCATCTAATTTCTCTTTACAATATTCCCCCTGAATCAAACATTAATATGCATCTATCGCTTTTTTGTTGAAATTGAAAGTGGGTTATTTATATGGTCCTCTTTCACTGGAGCTTCTTTTTGGTGAAAGATGATTTATAAAAATTTACTGTGGATTGTGTTTGCTTTTCTTGTTTCTCTAAAATTTTAACAATTGGATAGGCATTTGTTACACACAGGTGTCAAGGTGAAGGTCACAAGAATAAAGGAAATGATCATCAACTAAGCTCTTGATTGTTAATCAAATTCTCTTTGTCAGTACCCTAGGAAATGTATAGAGAACAGTATGGAGAATATGCATACTGAGATTTAGGTGTTAAGGGTGAAAAATGAAAAACAAACAAACAAACAACAGCAACATAATAAAGACAGTGCCACACAGTCATCAAGGGTGAATTTAACACAGTGTTGTTGTGTTACTAAAATATTTAACACATGGAGTGTTATTCTTGCTTCAGTCCAATCAAACCTAAAGAGAAAAAAGCAACTTCTGCACTTGATTTCTTTGGTTCTACTCCAGTTGAAAGGGAATCCAGGGAAACATTTGCTAATAAAAGAAAACAGGTGAATTACTAACCACACTTTTTACACCCAGAATTTTTTTTGTTAAGAAAAAATCAGCCATCCTGCATATTTTAAACAGTACTTCATGCATCATGCATTTAACAAGGAAAACTTTAAAACTCACCATACCTTGCCTTTCTATAAAATTCATGCATCACATATTAATTTTGGGCTTAATCATGCTTCCCTTGTAAACCCTCTGCCAATCTCTTATACTAACAGTAGTTATATCAGGATGTACTACAGTTAACACATACCATGCCACAAAATTAATGGGTAATGACCAGTGTTTGAGTCATTCATTATTTAATCATATTCAAGAAACTTTGTGGATGGGGAGAGGAGATGTTGAAGAATAGTTTTGGCAAAAACAATACCATGGGCCCCCTTAAAGGGATAAGTCCTTTTGCTCCTAAGATATTTAAATCAACTGTCTTTACTGTCTGTCACACAAGTGTTATGAAAATATCTCTGAGAACATGTTGTTCAAGCAATAAATATCCTCTTGTATGAGGACTTTCTTTCTTCTGATATTATATTGCTGCCTGACTGTGAATTGGTATTGTTATGAGAAATTAGAAAATTGATCACTCTTGAGAGTGCAAATTTTAAGCTTGACCCAGAGCTCGACCCACTTAATGATCATCCCTTAGTTTCTTGCAGAACAATCAAGAATTTTTTATCCTTTTTCATTTCCCACAGAGATCTGACAAGTCTGAAGAAAATGAAGACTCCAAAGTGAATAGAAAAGAAGAGTATAAAAATGGGAGAGAAAAAGAAGGAAGAGAAAATGGGAAGGTCAACCATCAAACAACAGAGCAACCATCAAAGAAAAGAAAGGAAGACTTCTCAGAATCAAAGTCTGAGGTTAAAAAGCCTTCCCCTGAGAAGAAAAAGGTTTGTAAGCCTTTTGATTACCATTTATACTTTATTGTTACAAAATTAATTATTACTATTAATCCTTAATTGAACATGCTACCCTGATACTAGAATGGATTGGATCTGATATGATAGCATGTGTATGGTATGTTGTTTAGGCAACTTGTCACTAAGCACTTGAATAAGGTACTTGTAGATGAACCAGTAACATTTTGGCTCTGTAGAAGATCCAAAAGCTCACTCAAATTTGTTAACTGGTGGTACATGTTGTATCCTACTATGACAGTAGATGGTTTTTACTCAGATGCACATTACTAACAATACTTGGAACAAAACATTCCTTACAATACTAACAGTACTCAAAATACTACCATTACTGTACTTAGAATTTATACAAAAGCGGTAACAATAGTGACAAAACTTTTAGGTACATTCTTGGTGATTTTAACTTTGACAATCTGGGAAGATGTTACCACTTCATCTCCATTTTTCAAAGCAGAAGTGTCTTTTACCATCAACATTTCTTTTGGGACAACTCTTGCCTTAATTGGACAACTCTTAGCTGTTTGAATGTTTGATATACATGTAATATTTGTTCACTTCATATTTTATCCATGGACTTTTCAGGAAGTACTAAAGACAACTCCTGCTAGCAAACTGGCTGTCAAAGCTGCCACAGTTCCAGAAACTCCAGTTAGAGACTCAAAACCAAGTACAAAGAAAACTGTTACTCCGAAAAAGGATGAAAAGATGTTAGTAAGGAAAGTCCAACCCAAGGAACACCAAAGGTGTCAAAATCAGAGGAAGTGGTTGAAGTTCCACCCTCATTGGAAAAGAAAAAATCTGGCTTCCATAGTTTTATGGCGAGAGATGGTCCTAGGGCACTTGGTTCAAAGGAAATCCCTCAGGTAGGTTTCAAAGACCAAGATCTGATTGTTAATTCTCCCCTCTAGCTGCTACACATTTTTCTGTAAATAACGAGAATTTGTTGTTAGATCATTAATAACAACTACATGTACTTGATAAGTTTTAGTGTTCTCATTACCTGTTTGCTGGATAATCTATGGATATTCTAGAGAGAAGTTGCATGTTAATTTCTTACAGTAGTTAAATTATTATTATCTCTCAAAAGCTCTTTGTGGTTTGTTTTCCATCCTTTCAAATTTTAATGAGAGATGCAGGACAAAGGAAAATGAAGATTATTAGAATTAAAGCTGGTTTGGAAAATCTGCAGATACATTTTACTGGAAAAATTGTAAAATGCATGCTTTGATTAACCCTGTTACTCCCAAGATCTCAATAGTAATTCTACTTACTGTCTGCTATACAATTCTTGTAATTTTAGTGTGGAGAATTTGGTCTTGGATCAACTTATAATCCCCTGGTTGATATTTGTATTTATTCTCATCACTTGCCTGCATGATATTGTATTTATATTGTAAGGAGAAGTTCTGTCTTGGTCACTCATGGGAGTTAAAGGGTTAAACAAAAAAATGTATTTTATCCTTTTACTATCAGTCGATGTTCAAATGTTGGCTCAATGTCAGTATCTGAGAAACTGCCCACCTACCCCTCCCCTAATACAACATTAACCCTTATTTGTTAGCAGTTGATGGTTATTGGGTTAGGGGAGGGGTAGGTGTGCAGATGCTGACATTGATCTGAAATGTTTATGGTGTATCTACAGAGTTTTTTACTTTTTTGTCATTTATAACTTTTCAGTTTGGACAGTATTAAGAGGCCCTCAAGGGAAGAATGAATTATTTGTCTGCTCATCTTGAATTATGCATGCACTTGATAATTTAATTTTTAGGAAGTGGAAAACTGTTTGGATGGACTGACATTGGTTATTATGGGAATCTTGGAAAGTATTGAGAGAGAGGAGGCAGCAGATTTGATTCAAAGATATGGTGGAAAAGTTACCCACTCAGTTAGCAAGAAAAAGAGTTATGTTGTCATGGGATGAGATCCTGGGGAGAGTAAACTTTCCAAGGTACATTTTAATGTACAGCTCAAAAGAGGAAAAAAAAAAGGAACTGTGAACGTAAACATATAAGCTGCACTTTTTTCCCTAAATTTTTATAATAAATCCGGGTGTGGCTTACAGCTAAAACACCTGGGAAACTTGCCACAAATTTGCATAAATTAACACAATTCATTGACAATTTGTAAGTCTGTAGAGCAAACTAACAAGAGCTGAAAAATTCACCATGGTAGAAATTTATCATTTTCTTTTGTTGTGGCTTCTAAAAGAGTTTTTTTCCATGAGCATAAACTTATATTTCTTTTTTGTTTGTTTTTTTTTACTTTGGTGCTTATCTGTCAGGCTAAGGAATGTGGAACATCACAAATAGATGAAGATGGTCTGTTTGAGCTTGTCAGAACAAAACCAGGCAAGAAGACCAGCTATGAATCACCAAGTGTGGAGAAGAAGAAGAAGAAGAAGAAGGAGAAAGCTGAACCAATGGAGTCCCTCAGCCAGGGAAAAGATCAGTTTGAAGGTGATTTGTCACAACTGAGTGAAAGATCTGTATCATCTCCAACAACACAAACACCATCATCATCACTTGCACTGAAAGCTGGGTGTTTCAAACCTTTCCAACAATTAGCACAAGAGTATGACTTCACTGAAAATTTAATTCACACTTCAGCTGTATGCCTTAAATTATTTCCTCACCAGTAAGCATCCTACATGTACTGTCTGATGATTACACTTAGTGAATATAATTTCTCTTGTTTGCATCCAGGTACTGTACGTGACTTTGTATTAAAAATACTGATAACATAAAAATACATGCATATGTATGTGATATCCATGTACCAGTAAAATGTCATAGCAGCCATAGGCTATTGTGCAACTGAGAACATAATTTGTTCATCCTCATTTCCCTTCTTCCATCTACTTAATTTATGGTGTCATTCAGATTGTCTGTCTGTCTGTCTGTCTGTCTGTCTGTCTGCTCTTTTGTTTATGTTCATTCTTCCAATAACTGTCCTTCTATCTGTCACTTATTCTCCTTGTTCTCCTCTGTCCAGTCACCCACCTGTCAGTTTTACCACTACTCTAAATTCCACTTTTAGGTTCACCTGTTGGATCATTCTACTGTACTTCCACCTGTAGACTTGTTTGTGTTACTTAAATTGAGTTACAAGAAAGTACATTTGTTTTGTTTTTTGTTGCTTTATTTTTTTAATCTACATAAGATTTTGACAGTAAAGGTAATTTTTTGTGTGTGTTTGCAGGAGAAGCAAATCTGTTATGGGTAGACAAATATCAACCTCGTGCAGTGAAGCAGATTATTGGTCAGCAGGGTGATAAGAGCAAAATGAGAAAGCTGATGAACTGGCTGAGAGACTGGGAAAAGAATAGAAAGAAACCAGCCTCTAAATGTGAGTACACGTGTATTTGATTGTCAGGATGCTTTTCCCTCAAATACATGAACATGTAACTTCTCTTCAGGCAAGTATGCAAACGGTTCAGGCAAACTGTCGGAGAAAGCAGATGAAAAAGTTTGGATTGTAACCAGATAGAGGAACCATTCTAGTGGGGGAATAATAATTCTCCTAGTCACCTGATGCTACTGAAATTATTTTAAGCTTTGGCAAGATTAGTCCTCTGGCTCTTGTGCTGACTTTACCTTTGACCCTTTAACTCCCATAAGTGACCAAGAGAGGATTTCTCCTTACAATATCGAGCAGGCAAGTTATGAGAATTAAAAAAAAACATTAAGTAGGGGATTATTAGTTGATACAATACCAAATTATCCAAATCATAAGAATTTGATGGCAGACAGTAAGAAGTACTAGGGAGCTATTTGGAGTAAAAGGGTTCAGTGGATGAACCTAACCTTAATCTACAGATACAGATTACAGAAGACCTTAAATTGAGTTGTGATGCAAATGTTGTCTAGCTGTAGGCTGAATACCTTTCACACTGAATCCAGATTGTTTCTTAATTCCCACATTCAGAGATACATTTTTTAAAGAGCTGTAACTCGTGGACTTTGATGAATTTATTTCACTCGACAGTCACTTATACATGTAGTTAGTATGTTAGTAATGGAATCACAATTGTAAGCAATTTTATTTTGTACAGCTTCCTTTTTCAACAAAGACCAAGATGGGTCTTCTAAGGCAGCTCTTCTGTCCGGTCTCCCAGGAGTTGGTAAAACCACATCAGCGACACTGGTTTGTGAAGAGCTTGGTTTTATGTACATTAAAATGAATGCCAGTGACACACGGAGCAAAAAGACCTTGGAATAACACATTTCTCAGTCACTGAACAATAAAACCATGGATGGCCTTCTGACAGGTTGTCATATTTCTGTAAGATTTGGAATGACTTTGATATTATTAAAGATGCTTCATTCATTCTCCTGTCTTACTAAACTGATTTTCCACTGTTGTTAATTTGTTATAATCAACTGAGTTGGTAACGTAAATTGACCACCGAAAAGAGTTTTAAAGCTGAGTTTAGCACTTCATATTGCTGCTTACGCCTGGCTTATAAGTTAATATGAAATTCAATCATTAATGATTATCAATATATGCATTACTGGTACCTGGAAAAGCTCGCATTTCAGTTGGTACTTGAAATCATTAAAATTTACCGGACTTTTCTTTGCCAATGATGATAAGAACAGCCAGGGTTATTTAGCACGTTAGTGAGATCTTTAAAATACTGTGCAAATTGCTAAACTAAGGAAGGTTTTGTGGTAAATTCAGGACGGTATGAGGCTATATCACACGATGAGAGGCTTATGCATTTTTATAGTTGATTGAACGAAAATGCCATAGGCTTTGGTACTTAGTAATGAATTGCCTTTTGTACTTTTAAAGCATTGACAACAGATCAAATAAAATGTGAAAGTTCGGCGATGTAATATCAAAGTGCCTTTTACATCAATCTGTATTTTTTTGCTTCTTTTGTATAATTATTATTATTATTATTGTTATTATTATTATTATTATTATTATTATTATTTTTATTATTATTATTCTGTTTTGAACATCAACGCCATTTCAGTAATATATTTCAACGCAGCTCACATTGAGCATTGACATTGGGATGTCATCTCTGTGCCAGTTTGGATCGTTACGGATGGGAATGTTTAATTTGTTGACAAAAAATAAGCTAAATGAAAGCTTTTATCCACCGCGCCACCTTTCTTTTTTTTCCTCTAATTCTATACCTCCTCCACTTTCCATCCTACAATAGTAGTATCCAGGCGAAATTGGGAAGCTAAAATACCTTTGTATTTGTTATTATTTTCTACCACGTTTTGAATATTTTTTCGATTGAGCAAACCAATAAAAACTCACTACTATTTGTATTCCAACAGACGGAAATTTCCCAATTTTCGAGAATTCTACGTTATCCGGCCGAAGAAAACCAGATTTCATTTTTCCTTGTATTTTTAGTCGTATTCGCTATACAGTAACTTTTTGCTAAATTTGGCCTCATGTCATTTCTTTTCACTCACCCGTCGAATTACAGCACTATTGGTCAACTTTTCCTATTTATAGGCCGACAAATCGCCTGCATCTTTAATAAGAAAATTTCCTTCACTATGCTTTCAGTATGAGTGTTTCTCATTCTCCCCAGTCCTTTCAGGACCTCTCGTATGGCAATCCAGCGCCCTTCGATCAACCTAAGCAGGCGATGGTTTAACGACCCTCACATCAGCAAAAAAAAAAAAATGAAAAAATAGATGTTTATGTCATTGTGCTATACTCCGGATTAATGAAAATGAAAAGTTAAAAAATGTAATATGAGGCCCTGTCCAAACTTGGCGTATAAATAGTGAAACAGCACAGCTACAAAATAGAATCATGGATCACGAAATAAACAATGATACACGATTTTCAGTTTCGAGTTCAATGAGCTCATATTCAGCTTCTTCAATTCTGCTGGTGTTACCAAGTGCATCGTTTTTTTACACACTTGTGGGGCAAATCACATTTTCACAGGAGTTAAGGTGAGGACAAAATAAGTTAATAGCGACCTTATGCAGTGAATGAGATAAACGGGTATTGCCTAAAGATACAAATAGAAACAATTTGAGACATGAGACACTAGAATGAAAGATGTCGATCTTATTTACTCGTCACGAACGCAGGATCGAATCTTAAACCGTCAGATTTTACGATTTGAAGTTCTCACATATTGCAATAGATTTCTCGTTTAATGAACCATGACATACAGTGGATACATCTGCATACTGCCTAAATCATAAATGTCGAAAGTTTCATGTCTTAAATACATAATGATAGAAAGGAAATTTCAAGCTCTTTCGTGACAGGAAAAAATCATTTTAAACCAACGACCGAAAAAAAAACCCTATCCGTCAGATCAGGTTAAACGACAGATTAAATATCAATACTGACATGTAAGTAAACATACCAGACCTTGAGGTGGCTTATTTCTCTTCCCATGAGGGATTTACGAAGCTGCGGCATTTCTGATTCAAGTATCAAGTGCGTCACATGTCTGTAGGAACTATTATGCAATTATTTATGGCCTCGCTTACTGCATCCAAACTCAGCAGACAATTCTGGAACTCAAAGAGACAGAGAGCTAGGGCCTAAGACTTCTCCTTCAACTTAAAGACAACTGGTTCAGTAACAAGTTACTCATAAAATACTTGCAAAATACACTGAGGTTTTCTGCATACAAAGATGCATGGAGTACATAGATTTAAAAAATTTTGAATATCTTCCTCGGATATTTCTTTAAGAAGAGTACTTATGGTATTCGCTTTAATTCTTTACAGCACGCGAAACGATTTAAATATGCTTTTCTCTAGATACAACGAGAAGTCAAGTATTTGTCTTGGAAAAGAACTTTATTGGAGTTAAATTTATTGCAAGTACTCTTCAGGTGAGGAAAGCTAATGAAGAAATATGTAGCATATTATAATCGAAAGACATGAAAATTGGAAAAAAATAAATATAAAGAATACATATTATTGATGTGATTTCTTTAGCTTTGTATATCTCCCTCCGGTGATAAATATATGCAACTTGTTATTACAAAGTATACGAAGATATCAACGCAACAACCAGCAAAAAATTAGTGTTTGTTTAGAGCAGGGAAAGTTATTGCTTATAGCGAAGTATCTTGGTGTAACACTAAATTTTCTTTACAAGTGAGAGAAAGCCAATGAATGAAAACAACTGAGGGATGGATGCCCATTTCAACTTGTTCGGGACTCGACTACACACGAACAAAACCATCTTGATTTTGTAAATCAGCATCGTTTTCATATTAGGAAGGAACAGATTTTATTATTCAAAAACTAATTGTATCGGGATGACATCCAAAGCGCCACTGAATTTCACTGGACTCTTACTCTTTTGACTGCAAAAATATTTAGTGCAGAATTGGCGAGAGTTGTTTACAGTAAAAAAAAGTTCCCCATTATTATTTTTAGAAACGTTGTCACGGTGAAAGTGGAAAATGAAAATTTGAGAGAACTGTAACGCAAAAGGGAAGATGACCAAAAACAAATGTTTATCATATAAAATACGCTGATTGGTATCGCCAATCAGCTGCTGCACGTCACTCGCTTTTCGCACCACTTTATTAGGTTGGTGAATGAATGGCAAATTCTCATTCCTTAATAAAGCCGCCTTTCAAGTTGTCTGTAAATGCCTATGGTGTTTATATAATAAACAAAATAATACATGGCTGCTTGTACATATGGGATTACGATTCTCGATATCTCACGAGAGAGCGCATTTGAACGAGGGATATATCGAGTTGATAACTTGAAGATAAATTGCATTGGTAAAATATAACTCACGGTGTGAATTCATCCTTATCGATTCAGTTATGGCAGAATGTAACATTTCCTGCTCTGAAGAGAAAAGGGATTTTGCGGATTGCGAGTATTTCGCACTAAAAGAGAAAGAGCTGCATTAAATTACAAACTGAATCAATTAATAGTCAGGCAGAAACATGAAAACAAATAATAATCATACAAGAATAAAACAAACAAAAAAAACAAGCACAATAACTAAGAAGAACAGCAATTTTGATCACGAAACTGGGAATTAGACGAGGTTAGATCTTTTAAACTCGTGAATATGTAACCTTCATTTTTATCATAATTGTTGTAAAGCAAAGTATTATTCTTAATATTTTCAGGCATGTAGAATTAACAAATGACATCATTTGGAGAACAGAGGGATTCAGAGGATGACAATTTAACAGGTACAAACCAATTTTCATTCTGCAACTGATTAGAGCTGTAGAGCTAATGTTATTTACCATGAAAGATCGTAATCTTAACTTTCTTGCGGTTGACAACAATTAAGTTTAATTTCAGTCGAATTTTCTCGGGTTATTGTTGTCAGACGTAAAAATATTTCCCTTGCGTACAATTATAAATTTCATTGGCTTCTCTCATTTGCCTCGTGGTTAAATAGTTTGCGCGCGATGCAATTTCCTAAAGCCTTAAACTCCTAGAAGTGATATAACGTGTAACTAATCCCTGTAATATCAATACATTATCCAGCAAACAGGTAATAAGAATACTCAAAGTTTTATCAGGTAGAATTCGTTATCTTTGAACTAACACCAAATCTCCGAACCTAATTTGAAAGGAAACATGTAGCAGCTGGAGGGGAGAATTAACAATTCGGTCACGGGAGTTAAAGGTTTAACTGTGCGTGACATTATGCGGCAGAAGCGCGTGATGAGCATGTGACAAAGCTAGATATCGTGCTGTACATAATTATAGCTCTCGTCAATATCAAAACCAGCTATTATCTCCCGAAAACAAACGAAGTTTGAAACAAAGCTCGAGGTTGAAGAAAAATATACAAAATGCCTACGTTTCTTTTGATATCGTAACACTCGCGATATATAGTAATAATAACGGTTATATGGTTGTCAGTGAGATACCTTAATTTTTTTCAGTTTCCAAAACGTGACATCTCCACCGCACGCTGTAAGCGTACCATTTATATCTTCATATATAAAGGCATAAATGTCCTCATGATAACCGGATTTGTAAACATAACAGTTTTACTTTCCATGTAGGCTGGTTTTTTTTTAATTGTTTTTTTTTCCATCTAAAGCTGAATTCAATTCTTTTTAAAGGAAATAGTTTTTGTAATGAGAAATTGTTGTATTACAATTTCCGAAATTGAAGTGGTTTTCCGGCGGGCTGACTTTCGGTGCAGTGGATCTCTGTATTCGATGCTCCTATATAAAAATTGTATTGGATTCAAATTTTCAATCAATATCTTTTGAACAAAAAGGATGATACATGTCCACTACGTATCTACAAGGTGGTTAGTAGTATCATTTCTAACTGGTTATCTGTCAGAGTTCGGTTTTAGTAGATATACCTTTTCGCGCAATGACGGACTAAATGGGCACAGTGTTTGAGTGTTTACATCGTGCGCTGGAAGATAAAACTGTGAGCTCAGTAAATGCTGATATTGAAGCAGAATCCTGTTCTGTAGGGCAAGACCACCTCAGCAGCTCCACGAAAATTTCCTACATTTCCCAATCACTACTATATTGCAGAAGATTCTCTTTTGATCAGCGATTTGTTCACAAATAAATTTAAAGTTCTCTTTTGCCTTGCGATATCGAAATGTTTTTTTTAGTTTCATTTCGCTTTTAGTCTACTTCCTCCGCCAAGTGCTTATTTGGCTTGGCAGTGAATTCATTCGATGGCCTACAAGATTAAGCTATGCAGAAGTCTACGTGTTGCGCTTGGCTTTCAATTTGATGTAGATAAAGTTTCTTTAAACAAGAGTTTTGATAAAAAGGTAGTTCCCAGTGCCATCTGCTCCAGTCCCTCGGAATAATCTCGTATTCAGTGCCTTTTTTGAATTCGAAATGAAAAATTCGGGTCCTTCCCCAAAATAATTCGGTAAAGGGCCAGCTACTTCCAGTTATTCAAAATTTCCTGGCTCCTTCAAAAAAAAAAAAAAAATGAATGGAATATTTTATTTACTAGAACTTATGAATTTGTTAAAGAACCTTTGTCCAGCAATTTTCGATAGCTTTGAGGGAAATTTTACAAATGCACTTTGTAGAAGAACAGAGATCTTATACTCGCTGCCACGGGTCGATAAACGTGTTTCGTTACGCAATAGACTCGCGGGGTGTTGGTAGAATTCGTGACGGTTACGTAGATCTTCGAAGGTGTTTCAGGCTTGAATAAGTTTTGCGAATTCTCCCAACCCCACACGCGATAAAATGAAGAAATGAGAGAAAGAGTCTTTTATTGCATAACATTTTATCTGTGTTTATCCATGCCTACCGGGTACAATTAGGTTGTTTATTGCAACTCACGCATTTTGATAAGGGACAGCCTTGAACGACGTTTCATTAGAAAAGACTAAAAAACAAACAAGCAAACAAACAAACGAATGAAAAAAACAAACATGACACAACCCGCTGAACTTGACTGGAGCTGTCACGCAACAACTATAGCGTGATGGAGGAAACTTTGAGATTCTCATTCATCCTCTATAATTAAGTATACAACGTTTTCTTTAGGTTACTTTCATTTGAGTCTCCTCTTTTTTATTTTTAACGATGTAGCGCAGTGCAATCGATTCAATTTTATTTCTAGCTATGGCAGAAAGCATCCTCCCAACAACGGGAGAAGAACTGGAGGTGAAAAATGAGTTTTCAGCTACAGGTAAGAAAAAGCAACAAGGAAAGACTTCTTTATGGTAATTATGTACTGTTTGTTGATTAAGTACACCCTAATTCTGGTGTACAATTTTTTGGATCACTTCGACTTGAAGGTTTTAGGAATCCACTAAATACGCCAGTATTAGAACGCTAGTTGTAATCGCACATAGTTGCGATCACTGACAAAATTGAAATATCTTCACGGTAATTTCAGCGACAGAGAAAAGTCAAGTTACGTCAAGTGACGCTGAACTGGATGTAGACGATGACCTTTTAAGAGGTGAGAAAAGATTTTTTGAAAGAAGTCCCCGCGTTGAAGTTTTTTTCACATTTACATGAAAATTTACACATTTACATCAAAACGTTCTGTGAATAAGGTTTTGAAACAGCAAAAGATTGTTTCTTCAAATCTCAGACTTTGTTACCAGTAAAATAAAAAACAAAGGAAAAAACAAGTCGTTGCTCGGTCAGATCGAGCAAAATGCTTAGACATCATCAGTTATTCATAAGCATTAAAGCGACAAATTTGAAGGCGACTTAGCTTTGAAGAGCCCTAAATTGAAGAAGAATTAGCCAAAATTAGCCTACTTGGCTTTGTAAAACCCAGTTTTTTTAGTTTTAGAAGTACTTACTTGTAAATCAACACACAGTGTTTTGGAGATTAACGATGTATCTACAGTTTGCACCTAAAATGGAGGTTATTTGCGTAATAAAAGTATTATCCTTTTGCACTTGAATATATTGTAAATTTGGTCATTTTTAGTATGAAAGTCAAATTCGGCAAGAGAGAGCTGTTGGTATCCGTAGACCCGTCAAAGTGGAGTTTTGAAAAATTTTGCAAACAGACAACTTTTTGAGGCCGCCAAAAGGAAAGTATTTGCGCTAACACATTTTTGTCCCTTATTGTTCAGTACATGTTTGGCAGAAATTTTACGCAATTTGAGAATTCTACATAGAAGAGGAGGCATTTTGTCTCGGCCGTATCGCCTGTTTTGGTCTTCAAAATATTTCGCGCCCTCTTTAGACAGTTATGTCAACACCAGGCCTACGCTGTAAACCACCAGCCAACAAAACGTGGAACCGCTGACTTTCGCAACAGGCAAAATGGCACTTCGCGGGAAAGTGATACTTTCCCAATCGAATTTCTCCAGTTAGCCTCTTCGAGTATGTTCTCAATAGACAATTAAAGAAAAAAAGACAAAGAAAAAAACTTTTTTTCTAGCGCACTTTTCTCAACGCTGGTAAAACCACGAATTCTTGTCACTCTCAGACTCTCAGTACGATGTTTTTTTTTTCGTTACCAGAACATTCCCAAGTTTTAACCTTTTTCGGTCCTGGCTTTGCCTTGCTTTTGCAGTAACTTATGGGGTTTGATATTCTAACATGAAATTTTGGAAAACGTAACCCAGATGTAAAAGGGTCATTGGAAAGTCTCTCGACCTAAATGTAAACCGATCAGACTTGATGTGGTTATAGCCAAGCTACAGCTAAAACTCCAAATAGCTTGTGTATTTTAAAGAAAACAAAATGCACAGATAAACTCTCCTGAAGGGCTATTGTAAACAAATTTGAGTTAAGATAGGATCTTCCGGTGAAACTTTTGATATTTTGGAAAACGTAAGCCAGGTGTAAAAGGAGTTTGGAAAGCCTCTCGACCTAAATGTAAATCGATAAAGTTGTGGTAATAGCCAAGCTACAGCCCAGACTCCCAGCAGCTTTAACACAAACAAAATGTACAGATATTAAACTTTTCTGGTTGTTTTTTCTCATAGCTCTAAGCTCCTTTAACCTAAAAGTTCATTTGGATATATAAAGTTGGCATCATCCGTCATCTCAAGGGTCGTATCACTCATTACTAAATTATTAACACTAAAACGTTGTGTTTTCAGAAATAGCGAAAGTATTTCTGGAGAAAGGTAACAAAGAATACAAAAAAGGAGAAGCTAATGACGCAATGAACTCCTACACGGAAGGACTTCAAGTGAACAGCAAAGATAAACGGCTGAACGCCAAGCTTTACAGCAACAGGGCAACAGCTCATTTCCGTTTAGGTAACAATTTCATATGTAAACATATAAATCTGTCGTGCAGCGTTACAAGATAACGAAATACACAATCTGCATTAAGAAAAAGAAAAATTGAGCAAATGTAGAAAAGTAGCGTAAAAACATAAATCGCCCTGTGGTGGATGAAAATTAAGCAAAGGGATGATCCTCGTTTCATTTTAAGTAATTGTAATTTTTTAAGGCTTCTTTGTTGCAATTCCATATGATGACCACTTTTTTAAGCCTTATTTCCTGAATCTCATAGCAAACTACGTGGAATGTCTCGATGATGCAACAGTTGCCGTTCAATTGGAACCCACTTTAATCAAGGCTATTAAGAAAGGTGGGTTTTTTCAGACATAATCCATCAACATTCTATTCTCTGATTTCGTCAAAAGAAGATTGTGTGGTGTGTGGCAGGTAACTGCAACCCAAGTGTCAATTGTATCTGGTGTGTCGATGTCTGTGATGAGGGTAAAAAGGATAAGAAAATGTCAATAAGCTCTCAAATACCGCCGCCTGTTTAGTTCCGTTGTAGAGCGCGGAGGACGAGGGTTCAAGCCCTAGACCGGACCATCTCCCTGAGTCTTAAAATATCTTAGGACAATGTGCTGCCGCCTAGGCTGTGACATCTGCAAATGGTTTGATATTCTAGTTCCGGATAAGAACGGAAAACCGTCAGCCTTGTTTCTTGCATCTTCTCTGTAACTCAAGGAGGCACCTGAAAAATTCCCTTTCAAAAGGTGTAAACCACTCAATGCAGTTTACCCGAAAACTTCCCCGAAAAGTGCTGAAAAGCGCATAATAGCACATTAAAATGAAGAATGCGCGAGATACATTTATCGTTATCATCATCAATTGAAGCTTAATTGGTAGCTGCTTTCCATTAGCTTCTTATTGTTTATTTTCAGTTCTTTCACGAGTTCAAATTTCCTTCATTATCACAATTTTTGTTCCCGGCCAAATGGGAAATGAAGTCCATTTTATCAGTACGTTTATACTTTAACAGTGATGAGTTACTTCGTACCACCAATTATTCTCTCCTTTTCAGGAGCCAGAGCTTGTGCCGAACTTTGTTTGTATAAAGAAGCAAGGAGCTGGTTGCATATGGGATTGGCCGTATCCTTTAACGAATGTTTTCAAACGTGATACGAGATGCAATGCGAGTAATATTTCAAGGGAAATCAATACTTTCCGGAGAGATTCTTCAACACATAGTGGAAGCAATGTTCTCTTATACTGCACTGAGCAGTTTAAAGAAGCTAAAATATTATTAAAGAGTTCTTTCGACTATTCCACGAAACTTTACTCAAAAGAAGAGGCCATATCAATTAATTCCCAGAGTTTGGGCTGAATACCCCTCATTTTTGTCCTCAGACGAGTATCACCATGACGACCGAACCTAAACCAATAAATGCGCTTCAGAGCAAGTTAAAACTCTCCACTAGCTTAAGAGCGTTTGTCTTTAAAAATCAAACATATCGCGGCAAGGGTGGAAAATTCGATTCCTTTCTTATTTCAATGTTAGATAGGCTAGACTGTAACTAAAATCACTGGATACTTTTTTTGGCAAAATATCTTTTTATTTCAGAGAAAAATACAAATAACGAAATTCTGTTAAAATCGTCATTTTTAGCAGCAAATTATTGCACGAGTTTGAGGGCTTCGCGTGCAAAAACGAATCACTATCTCGTCTTTCAAACACTCAAATCTTCTTTTACGATCTCATAAGACCTCACAAAAGGATTTTTGTAAACATTGCGCTCTTCTTTTCTCTTAAAATAATTTAATTTCGAAAGCATGCATTTCTCTTCAGTAAAAATACTTCGTGAATAAAATTAATTTTCATCATGTGTTAAACCTTCAAATGGATTAAGCTTTTGGTGGTTGAATTTCGAAAAGATGTTCTCAATATTACTGTAAAAATTTGTTTGGGCAAATGATTGAGAGCGATACAAAAGCTTTTCAAAGTCCGTTAAAATGCAGTTATTTGACCTTTTGCGGTCAACATTCCAGTCGCGAGTCACGCATATTTTAATATGTTTCAACCCATATGAGGCCGAAAAATGTACATAGAAAGATATTTCCAAATGCTTTAACCTCATTTGCCGCAGAAGACCGATCCAGAGACCATTTTAGTGTGATTCTCTTGTCGTTCGTCGTATTTAGGTCTGTGTAAGTGATAACGTCCGATGAAACCACCAACCCTGTCGAACACCATCTTGTTGTCAAACGTTCCATATCTTTCTTCACTGTGGCATCTTATTCAACGGTTCAGTTGACTGCGAGTATTACTATACTAGTTTATACACTAAAAAATTACATCTGACAGTCTCATTCAATGCTAAACTGAGTTGACTACAAACATGTACGCCCTTTGAGTATTTGGGTTGTCACGCAATACTGGTGACAAAGGAACTTTAGGGGGTAGGTGAAGGGCAAAACTCCATATAATTAAGCACTATCAGAATTGAACTCTTGGAACCTACAAATTATTTTATTCTGTAAACATTTTTGTGATAATGACATCTCTGTCTGGTGACAAACAGTAAAATACTTTTATTTATTGCAGGGAATTATTCTTGTTTTTTTGGCGCTCTGTGCCTGTCGTACTTATTAGGGGTGTTTTTCTTTCCACTAAAATTGCAAGGAATACCCCAATAGCATGAAAGAGAACCTTTAGTACATTTTACAACACCATGCTACAAAACGCAGTGGTGGGGATGTGTGGCTTATGTTAGGCTGGGGTGCTATGCTCCGTGGCCAATGGATGGGGCTTGCATAAGGGAGTGGTATTATTAACCGCTGTTAACAGACCCAACTACCGTTTAAAACCATAAACTACAGAGGGGCCGACATATGTGCACTCGGCACAAAATAAGGTCGATCTCATCTTCAGGACCGGTAAATTTGAAAGCCGACCCATGACTTGCGATATTCTTGGTGCATGAAAGTAAAGGAACAATTTCCGTTTCACGCATTCGATCTCTATTGTTGTAACCACAAACTCCGCCAATAAGCAACTTGAACGAACAACAACCTTCCATTTTTTATGTAACAAAGTTGACTGTGTAAGTTAGTGTATTTGTGAAAAACAAAGCCCGAAGCCCCGCCTCTAAGCGAACAATAGACATCTTGTAATTACCATAAACCAGGTTTTGTTTACTTAGGCTTGCTATTTTTAGCAGGTACTAAATTTAGTTTTCCAACGAGTATTAGCCAAAGGCCCGATCTCCACGACTTACATGTAAGAGATTTCGATGTTCACATCAACAAAAAAGCTTAGCAGCAGAGTGACGTCTCTTTACTTTCCCCTTCCCCTACCCCCTAAAAAATTAACTTTCCATTGTATGATTTGCATCGCGTGGCGACTCTCCGTATACAAAACTACGTTGACTGCAACATATGTGTAGTGCCACTTTTAAAAGCATCGATCAGATCTACTGCACCTCAAACCGAACAACACTCACAGTCAACTGAACCGCTGGAGAAGATGCCACAGTGCAGAAAGATGTCAAACATTTTACAACGAAGGTTGGTGACAGTTTGCAGATTGACAGGCAGTTTCATCGGATGTTATAAATACGATGAGCGACAAGGTAACCAAAGTAAAATGGTCTCTGGATCTTTCCTCTACGGCAAATGAGGTTAGAGCAATTGGAAATGTGTACCCATGTACATTTTCCGGCCTCATATGAATCATATTAAAGTAGGTGTGTGACTCGCAACTGGAATGTTGACCGCGAAAGGTCAAATAACTGCATTTTAACGGACTTTGAAAAGCTTTCGTATCGCTCTCAATCATTTGCCCAAAGAGATTTTTATAGTAATATTGAGAACATCTTTTCGTAATTCTACCGCCCAAAGCTTAATCCATTTGAAGGTTTAGCACATGCTGAAAATTAACTTTACTCACAAAGTACTTTTACTGAAGAGAAATGTATGCTTTCCAAATTAAATCATTTTACACGCAAAGAGGAACGTAGTGTTTACAAAAATCGTTTTCTGAGGTCTTATAAGGTTATAAAAGAAGATTTGAGTGTTAAAAAGACGAGATTGTGATTCGTTTTTGAATGCGAAGCCCTCAAACTTGTGCAATACTTTGCAGCTAAAAATGACGATTTTAACGGAACTTATTTATTTGTATTTTTCTCTGAAATAAAAAGACATTTTGCCAAAAAAGTATCCAGTGATTTTAGTTATAGTCTAGCTTATCTAATATTAAAATAAGAGAGAAATCGAATTTTTCACCCTCGCCGCGAAATTTAGAATTTGTCTGACTTTTACAGACAAGCGCTCTTAAAATCAAATCTCTGAAAAAGACCAACGTTCGAATTATCATTCCAGTTTTAAGGTTCTGTCTAATACTCTGTAAAATATACATTTCCACTGCATTTTCGCAAATCTACTCATGATTTATCGACCCTTGACACCTTTTAAGATTGAAAATGACAACAAACGTCTGCTTCAATTACTAAGGAAAACTAATGCCGAACTAAAAGTCATAACAAACAGTTCCTCCAATCTCGGTAACGCTTATCAAAGTCTAGGACAGTTCAAAACAGCCATCCAGCACCATCAACGTGATCTAGAAATTGCTAAAGAACTGGGAGACAAGGCCGGAGAGGGGAGAAGTTACTGCAATCTCGGCAACGCTTATCAAAGCCTAGGACAGTTCAAAACAGCCATCCAGTACCATCAACGTCATCTAGAAATTGCTAAAGAACTGGGAGACAAGGCCGGAGAGGGAGGAAGTTATGGCAATCTCGGCAACGCTTATCAAGGTCTAGGACAGTTCAAAACAGCCATCCAGTACCATCAACGTCATCTAGAAATTGCTAAAGAAGTGGGAGACAAGGCCAGAGAGGGAAGAAGTTATGGCAATCTCGGCAACGCTTATCAAGGTCTAGGACAGTTCAAAACAGCCATCCAGTACCATCAACGTCATCTAGAAATTGCTAAAGAAGTGGGAGACAAGGCCGGAGAGGGAAAAAGTTATGGCAATCTCGGCAACGCTTATAAAGGTCTAGGACAGTTCAAAACAGCCATCCAGTACCATCAACTTGACCTAGAAATTGCTAAAGAAGTGGGAGACAAGGCTGGAGAGGGAGGAAGTTATGGCAATCTCGGCAACGCTCATCAAGGTCTAGGACAGTTCAAAACAGCCATCCAGTACCATCAACGTGATCTAGAAATTGCTAAAGAAGTGGGAGACAAGGCTGGAGAGGGAGGAAGTTATGGCAATCTCGGCAACGCTCATCAAGATCTAGGACAGTTCAAAACAGCCATCCGGTACCATCAACGTCATCTAGAAATTGCTAAAGAAGTGGGAGACAAGGCCGGAGAGGGGAGAAGTTACTGCAATCTCGGCAACGCTTATCAAGGTCTAGGACAGTTCAAAACAGCCATCCATTACCATCAACGTGATCTAGAAATTGCTAAAGAAGTGGGAGACAAGGCCGGAGAGGGGAGAAGTTACTGCAATCTCGGCAACGCTTATCAAGGTCTAGGACAGTTCAAAACAGCCATCCAGTACCATCAACGTCATCTAGAAATTGCTAAAGAAGTGGGAGACAAGGCCGGAGAGGGAAGAAGTTATGGCAATCTCGGCAACGCTTATCAAGGTCTAGGACAGTTCAAAACAGCCATCCAGTACCATCAACGTCATCTAGAAATTGCTAAAGAAGTGGGAGACAAGGCCGGAGAGGGAAGAAGTTATGGCAATCTCGGCAACGCTTATCAAGGTCTAGGACAGTTCAAAACAGCCATCCAGTACCATCAACGTCATCTAGAAATTGCTAAAGAAGTGGGAGACAAGGCCGGAGAGGGAATCAGTTATGGCAATCTCGGCAACGCTTATCAAGGTCTAGGACAGTTCAAAACAGCCATCCAGTACCATCAACGTCATCTAGAAATTGCTAAAGAAGTGGGAGACAAGGCTGGAGAGGGAGGAAGTTATGGTCATCTCGGCAACGCTTATCAAGGTCTAGGACAGTTCAAAACAGCCATCCAGTACCATCAACGTGATCTAGAAATTGCTAAAGAAGTGGGAGACAAGGCTGGAGAGGGAGGAAGTTATGGCAATCTCGGCAACGCTTATAAAGGTCTAGGACAGTTCAAAACAGCCATCCAGTACCATCAACGTGACCTAGAAATTGCTAAAGAAGTGGGAGACAAGGCTGGAGAGGGAGGAAGTTATGGCAATCTCGGCAACGCTTATCAAGGTCTAGGACAGTTCAAAACAGCCATCCAGTACCATCAACGTCATCTAGAAATTGCTAAAGAAGTGGGAGACAAGGCTGGAGAGGGAGGAAGTTATGGCAATCTCGGCAACGCTCATCAAGGTCTAGGACAGTTCAAAACAGCCATCCAGTACCATCAACGTGATCTAGAAATTGCTAAAGAAGTGGGAGACAAGGCCGGAGAGGGGAGAAGTTACTGCAATCTCGGCAACGCTTATCAAGGTCTAGGACAGTTCAAAACAGCCATCCATTACCATCAACGTGATCTAGAAATTGCTAAAGAAGTGGGAGACAAGGCCGGAGAGGGGAGAAGTTACTGCAATCTCGGCAACGCTTATCAAGGTCTAGGACAGTTCAAAACAGCCATCCAGTACCATCAACGTGATCTAGAAATTGCTAAAGAAGTGGGAGACAAGGCCGGAGAGGGAAGAAGTTATGGCAATCTCGGCAACGCTTATGGCAGGCTAAGAGAGTTCAAAACAGCCATCCAGTACCATCAGCGTCATCTAGAAATTGCTAAAGAAGTGGGAGACAAGGCCGGAGAGGGAATCGGTTATGGCAATCTCGGCAACGCTTATCAAGGTCTAAGACAGTTCAAAACAGCCATCCAGTACCATCAACGTCATTTAGAAATTGCTAAAGAAGTGGGAGACAAGGCTGGAGAGGGAAAAAGCTATTGCTCTCTCGGCATGATTCATGAGGCTCAAAGAGAGTTGAAAACAGCTTTTGAGTGTTTTCTACGTCACCTAGAAATATCCAAAGAAGTGGGAGATAAGACTGGAGAGGCGTGCTCACTCTGCTCCCTTGGAATCAGTTTTGAGAGCCAAGGAAATCTTATGATGGCCTTTGACTGTTATTACTCGAGCGTAGAATTGTATGATGATATCAGGGCCAGTCTTCAACTCAACGATCAGTGGAAGATTTGTTATCGTAATTTACACCAAGGAGCATACAAAGGTTTGTGGCGTATAAATCTCAAGCGAGGTCAAGTTGTGAAGGCTCTTCTTACCACAGAGAAAGGACGTGCTCAAGCTCTGAGAGATCTCATGGTCATAAAGTATCAGCCTGAAGATTCTTTAACGCCTAGAGCATCCCGCATTTCTCTGAGGTGGGTTCCATTGAGCACAGTTTTCATAGCTATTAATGGACCATGTGTTTACTTCTGGGTTTGCCTCAGTGAAAATAATATCCAGAAGAGAGAAGTACACGTGAACAAATACAAGTATGAGGATGAATTGAAAGTTTTCATGCAGGTACTGAACAAAACTGCTCTTAAGGAGATCAGTAAAAGAGATACTGTAACCATCGAATATCGTCCGCTTGACTTGCCGACAGAAGAGGAAGTGGCCAATGATGTGATCCCAGTTGATGTGAGGCACTCCCAATCCAGCGCTTTAAAGAAGCTGCATGACATCATCGTTACTCCTATTGCTGACCTGATCGAAGGCAACGACGAGATCACGTTCGTTCCTGAGGGGCCATTTTGCCTTGTACCTTATGCAGCGTTGCAGGACTCCAACTCATCATATCTAAGTGACTCTTTCAGAATTCGTGTGCTTCCCTCTCTGACGACCTTGCAACTAATTCATGATTGTCCAGCTGACTTTCACATGAAGACTGGTGCATTGCTTGTCGGCGACCCATGTTTCAAACATATCATCTATGAGGAAAGACTTCTGGTGCAACTTCCAGGAGCAAGGAAAGAAGTGGAGATGATCGGACGTATCCTCAATGTCTCCCATCTCACTGGAGAAATGGCAACAAAAGATGAAGTGTTAAAACGAATATCATCAGTGGCCTTAGTTCACATAGCAGCCCACGGTAAAATGGAAACTGGAGAAGTTATCTTGGCACCAAACACCACAAGAGATAACCCTCAGCCGCAAGAGAAAGACTATCTACTGACAATGAAAGATGTCATGGAAACTGGGTTGCGAGCACGTCTGGTTGTACTTAGCTGCTGTCACACTGCTTGTGGGGAGGTCATGGCCGAGGGTGTGGTCGGCATGGCGCGTGCACTTTTGAGTGCCGGTGCCAGATCTGTTGTGGTAACCTTGTGGGCGATTGGCGACGAGGGAACCGTAGAGTTCATGAGTTTCTTCTACCATGCACTTGCCAAAGGCAAGAAGGCAAGTGAAGCTCTCAATCAGGCCATGAAGTGTATGAGAGAAATCGAAAAGTTCAAGGAGGTGATTTACTGGGCACCATTTGTACTCATTGGTGACGACGTCAGCCTGGATTTCAAGGAGATTTAGAGGCTGCAGCAAGTAATAATTCTGTTGATACATTCTATTCAATACAAAGTTAAATTTAATCATAATCTTTGCTCCTATGTGAGCGGTGATACTTGCGTGTTATTTTCCTTTCATTTGGGTTACGAATTCAGTTTTTCTCCGCAAACTGATATGTAGTACAATCACGTGGACACATTTACGATGATAACATTCTTTTTTGGAAACATGATAGGAATAAAATAGCAAATTTCTTTTAAAACAATCCTGTTGTGCAATGTATCGTTTCATGTGCTAAGAAATATTTCATGGCAACTCAACTATCCTCACTAAACTTAGATTCTTTAATTTTTCAGTTAAGGAAGTGAGCATTGGAATACCAGGGAGTTTTCGGATACCTACAAATGCTGATATTTGGACCAGAAACCAGTAAGCTACCGATGAAAGCTTTGTCAAGAGTCTTCTTTTCAAAGCAGGAAGAACCAAAAGACGGCCAAAGTCAAGTTTAACAAGAGAACAGATTTCCATTGATTTAAAAGTTGCCTTTTTGCTTGTCTGAACTGCTTTTACGAGCTCAATCTTTGATATCCTTCTTAAACTACTGTTTGTTTGTTTGTTTGTTTTTTTTTCATATGATGTCTTAAAATTATCATGACCAGCTGTGTGAGAAGTTATTTTTAATCTAAGTATTTTGTACTGAGAGGATTTGGGCGTTACATTTACGTCGAAGTTGAAACGTCTTGAAAACGTTTTCCAGATTTTTTTCTCAATCTGTTTAGTCTCATGAGTTATATAAAGCTATTACAGCCATGGGCGTGTGTAGAGAATTTCCATTGGAATTGGAGAATAATCAGTTGTCCGACTGCTCGATTATCTTAGGCTATGTCAGATGGAAATTGTGATGAACTTTTCGAGGATTTATACTCAGTCAATGGTACTTAAGTTAGTTTCTGCCGATCAGAATTCGGTTTATCTGGACTTAAAATGACTGATTTTGGCCGTAATGGCAAGGGTTTAGACTTGGTATTAGTTAATTTTCTGAGATTTCTCCCTTAATTTTGAATGCGATAAATTGTGTAATTTTTTACAAGCAGAACGATGCATTTTAAGTATATTGTTTAAACTAATCGTCCAAAGGCAAAACGAGAAGTTTTACTTTATAATTTTAGTTATGGCCTACAAAGAATCGGTGGAAGCTCAGAACGAGCTAGAAAGTTGGAGCCAAATGTTTTATTTAGTTTCTCCGATTAGATTGTTTACTTACTATCTAGGTTCAATAAACTAACATTTAAATGTCAAACAATGAAACAAGTCGCTTGGTATTTTGTTTGAATGAAAGAGGAAATCAGTAACAGAAAATTTCTGCATGAACCTGCATGAGCCATTTCTTGCCGTTTGAATTAGTATTCGCTTTATAACTTTTGCCCATTTCTTTGAATAGGTTTACTGAATGAGAGATAAACTTCGATATTTTCTGACTCTATAACTACTAATATCGATCATTGGCAACCGTTTGTCAGGATGTCACGCGACGCACTTCTTTAGTACGTTATGTGACAGATATGATGTTTTGTTACATCTTTTCTTTTGGAGAAGTGAGCGCACCTATGCCTTATTCGCTCAACGTTTGCCCATTTTCTTGGATAGAGTTATTAAATGAGATATAAACTTCGATATTTTCAGATTTTATATCTGCCAGTTTCAGGATGTCACGCGACGCGTTTTTTTTAGCATGTAAAGCGACATGATGTTTAGTCATATATATTGTTGAAGAGGCAAGAAAAAATAAATTACCTTTCACTTTGAGAGATGGTGCTTTATTCTGTTTAAAGAAAGCGTCCTCATAATGGGAGGTACCCTGGGTCGGTGTGGTTCCCCGTGTGTAGAAAATATTTATGATTTTTTTTTCCACGATTGCAAACTTAACTAAAACAGTCTGTTAAAAAAACCGAAACTTTCTTAAAAACTGAGGGCCGACCGATAAGAACTTTTTACGGCTAACGGTTAAAACTGTGGCCATTTTTCTGCTGCGGCTAACCCAGAATAACACTAAATAACACACTGTAGGAGGGAAAGATTTTTAAAGTTAATTTTTCTACAACTAAGGGATCAAATTTGTCAATATTTACGCCTAACAGCTAGCTTTTCGACCGGTTTACGGCTAACGGTTAACCCCATGGAGACCCTCGACTGGATGACGTGCAGATGTAAAAAAAAACGGTTTTAGAAGGTGGCATTTGCAACTCGAATTTAGAGCGCTGGTTTTTAAGGAGTAAGGAAAACCGGGAAAAACAAGCCGTGGAAAAATACTGGAAGTAAGGATCAACCTGAGAGAGACGGGCCTGGGGAGAGCGTTGTCGCTAGCTAGAAAGTTGGAGCCAAATGTTTTATTTAGTTTCTCCGATTAGTTTGTTTACTTACTATCTGGGTACAATAAACTAACATTTAAATGTCAAACAATGAAACAAGTCGCTTGGTATTTTGTTAGAATGGACGAGGAAATCAGTAACAGAGGGAAGAAAATTTCTGCATGAACCTGCATAAGCCATTTCTTGTCGTTTGAATTAGTATTTGCTTAATAGCTTTTGCCCATTTCTTTGAATAGGTTTACTGAATGAGAGATAAACTTCGATATTTTCTGACTCTATAACTACTAATATATCGACCATTGGCAACCGTTTCCCAGGATGTCACGCGACGCACTTCTTTAGTACGTTATGTGACAGATATGATGTTTTGTTACATCTTTTCTTTTGGAGTAGTGAGCGCACCTATGCCTTATTCGCTCAACTTTTGCCCATTTTCTTGGATAAAGTTATTAAATGAGATATAAACTTCGATTTTTCAGATTTTATATCTGCCAGTTTTATTGGCAGCCGTTCCTTAGGATGTCACGCGACGCGTTTTTTTTTAGCATGTAAGGCGACACGATGTTTAGTCATATATATTGTTGAAGAGGCAAGAAAAGAGAAATTACCTTTCACTTTGGGAGATGGTGCTTTATTCTGTTTATAGAAAGCGTCCTCATCATGGGAGGTACCCTAGGTTGGTGTGGTTCCCCGTGTGTAGAAAATATTTATGATTTTTTTTTCCTCGATTGCAAACTTAACTAAAACAGCCTGTTAAAAAAACCGAAACTTTCTTAAAAACTGAAGGCCGACCGATAAGAACTTTTTACGGCTAACGGTTAAAACTGTGGCCATTTTTCTGCTGCGGCTAACCCAGAATAACACTAAATAACACACTGTAGGAGGGAAAGATTTTTAAAGTTAATTTTTTCTACAACTAAGGGAACAAATTTGTCAATATTTACGCCTAACAGCTAGCTTTTCGACCGCCTTACGGCTAACGGTTAACCCCATGGAGACCCTCGACTGGGTGACATGCAAGATGTAAGATAAAAACGGTTTTAGAAGGTGGCATTTGCAACTCGAATTTAGAGCGCTGGTTTTGAGGAGTTAGGAAAACCGGGAAAAACAAGCCGTGGAAAAATCCTGGAAGTAAGGATCAACCTGAGAGAGACGGGCCTGGGGAGAGCTTTGTCGCTACGCATTCCTGTTATGTTCAATCGCTAACGCGAGATATTCACCGAAGTGAGGGCGAGCAAGGATAAATTTCCTTCCCCCTTTTAAGACCTTGTACCGGATCCAAAAAGTCAGTAAGCCCTGATATATTGACTTCCCTCCCAGATCTAAAAAACTGCGACAACGTAAATGTTTCAGCAGGAAATCTCTACTGACGATAGCATATATTACAATCATTTTTAAAAAAGAGCCATGGGAAGGGGGGAAGGGTGGGTCGAGGTTCCGCTTTTCCTCCCGGGTTGGGAGTGTGAACGGCTACGTGGTTAGAGGAAGGATTCTCAAGAATCTAAGAGCTACGATTTCAGAAGGTAAAGACAAGAATTTCCCAGAGTCATTGCTGGACTAAGACTTCTTTCGTCTTCTTAGATTTTCTCTTCGTACTTCATAACCCTACTCCATCTACCCACCTTAGAGCGGTTTTTTTATAATATACCACACAGGCGAATGGAGCTCTTCGCGTGGGCTGATTGGCTAATTTGGAATTCATAGTCGAACCTGTATTAAGCGATCGGTTGTCAAATTGGCGATTTTCTTTTCTCTTATGCATTGTCACTTTCAACACTTTTCAGCGGTGGTCTCTATTAAGCGATTGTGGTCATCCTTGACTGAGTCCCATCGGCCTGTTCGGGTTGTATGGAACGATCACTTAGGGAGGAATCACTCGAATAAAAAGACGAATTCTCTCTGAAGTAAAATTTATTCCATATTTGTCTCCCAAAATCAATGTTAGTATTTAGAGTTCAAATGTCCTTAACGAATTGCAGATTATCATTCTTCTATAGAAATGTTTGTATCTGACAAATATTACACAAGAGAATTACAGAAGAAAATTACCCAAGAAAAATCATCATCACAGGTCATTATTATCGTTATTATATTTCAAGCAAGAAATAAACTGTTATTTTCAAATATTCTGATTTCCAGCTGCTAGAGACATTGAAATAACTTCCTATGGCAACAAAGAACAAACTTAAAGATAACAAGGTAATAAGTTATCAAAATCCATTGATGGAGACAAGAAAGGTATCGGTAGCCTTGTGCTATTTGAACGGCAAAGTTCTAACAAGGATTAATCAGATGATGAGTCTCTGGATGAAGAAGTGGCCAGTTTTATTGTCGACAAGACTGTAGACAGCTGTGCCATGAATAACAAACTACTAACAGAGAACTTTGAGAAATCTCCTGATGACCTTTAAGAGGACGACCATAAGTCCGAAGACGAGCGATTGCCTGAAATCGGCATCAGGCTGATGGCAAATGAGCTGGGGTGATTTTAATTCCAATAAACTGGAGTCTGGCTTCATTTCCAAATGTAACAACTTTCTTCGTCTCTCATTGAAAATATCTTGCCAACCAGATACTCGTGGGAAAAAGGATATGTTTACGAGCCGATTTACCTTAAAGGGGGGTGGGGTGTTGCAGTCCTACAAGCTAAGAAGCCCACATCTGCCTGTGCTTATTCCTGCATTCTCGTACGTCAAACAATCAGGAGTACCTTCAGTAGTCAATCACAGGTTACCTCCTCCCTTTTGTTCAAGATTCTCTTGATAGCATTCCAGTACCCATGGATGGAGAGAGGTATTGTGAGAGTAATAAAAGTGTCTCGGCGTTGAATTTCTACAAAACGGCAGTCAAACGTCGGGCATGCGCAAGGGATCAATTATTGCCGGCTGCACGCCAATTTCCCGCGGAAAACGTCAATTGAAAACGTAGGAAGCAATAACAAATCTCACAAAGTAAGCGAGAGCAATTTGGAACGTTCATAGAAATTTTTACAAGGAAACAAATAGAGGGAAAAGGAAGCCTTGAGAATTTTTGAACGCAAAGCTCATTTAATTACGGGTATCCTGTTAATTTGCTATTCTGTTTTGAACCTTACCAGAAAAGTAATACGTTTTTAAAACACAGTGAGTTACTGGCTGGTGTGATCGTTTGTAACACGCGCGATCACGACACAACAAGCTAGAACTCGGACCCTTTAGGCCAGAGTCTAACGCGCTATCACTGGGGCATTTTTTGCCTTGTTTTTGTTTTCAGGAAGTTTACGGAATACCGAAGAAAAATGTAACTCCAGTAAGTATTGTTTAAGTGACATTGGCAACAGTGGAAATTTTTCCTCTCCAGTTTTTTTACGTATTATTTTGTATTTTGTCTTTGTTTTGCGTTTTTCTGTTGTTTTGGAAGCCCATAATTGATGCAAAAGGAGAGGGTGAAACTCTCTGCTTGAGAAAAAAAAGGGTCTATTCTTAGTGAGCCAGAGTGTTGGTTTCACATTGTACGGAAATGTTGCTGCTTTTAACTTTTGTTGTTGTTGTTTGTTTAACATTCTGTTGCATGATGGTCTGATTCTTTGTTCAGGCCGAGCAAGACCCTGTTGCCGAGTTGTTAGTCGCAGCCAGCCCAGCAGGCATGTAAACTATATTTCACTGATCGTGTATATTGCTTGATTGACCAGTTTTTTTACCTTGAAACCCTGATATAGTTGTGCATTTTCATCAGGGGGTGAATTTTGTGTGAACCATGTGCGCGACAAAGTTTTTTCAGATTTTATTCGTCGTGTCACAGGGGTGAGACAGAGAAAGAACTTATTTTCCCAAGAGGATTGTAACCCCAGACCTTTTTTATTCACCTTGACATGGGATGATCCTGAAACCTCTGCTCATTGTTTCCTAATAATCTGGAAAAACTAACTTTTAAACAGTGATTAATTTGATGGTTTTTTTTTTACAAGAAGTGGTGACGGTGATCATGCCAGGTGAGACTTCTTCAGGGATTTTTACAGGTGGACACTAAACGCTTGTATCTATAAGCCATGGTTAGCGACCATTATTTGGATCAAACACTATAAAGGCTTGGCCGGATTTACGAACAGGAACCGGCGAAGTTGTAGAAAAGTTTTCAAACAAGTCGAGTAATAGATTTTAAGCCGTGGCTCCCAGATCTTTTTCTCACCTTGCCTTGAAACTTTTTTTACATAATAGCTGCCAACTATGGCTTATAAATATGGGCCTTTATTGTTACCAGTAAAACTCCCTGAAGAAGTCTACGACAGTTAAACGAAACACGTTGGAGAGTAAAACAAGTCTCAGAATAACCGTTCGCAGAGCGCTGCTCGCTGTTTGAACGTTAAAAAAAATAGTCTTGTCCGTGAAAGAAAAAAAACTACAGTAACGTACACACACAAGAAGAAAATAAAACATCTCTAACGATCGCAAAGATACAAGCTGCGAACTTTTTTTATCAAAAGCACAAACCAAATTTAGGGCCCAAAAAATTGATAAAAACTGCAAACCACTACCATCGCAGGATCCGCCAATCCGTTAACATTTTGCTCTGAATACGAAATGCAAAATGCGGGAAAACACACTGTCTAAAACTCTAGCTCTCCCCATCCTTCTCTGTAAACCTCAAAGAGCACTGAGCACTCGCTTGCCAAAATTACGCTTACTCTGCAGGCTGCCATTCCTAGAGTGATCTTTATAATGAAGGCTACTTAGCAATATTTTCATGAGGCTCTCTCTTTATCATGCTTGACTTGGGGTCCTTTCAAATTTAACTCTGACTTGTGACTGAGACCATTCAAATGTTAGCTGATATGGTGCTGTATATTCTTGTGATGTACCACGTGATTTTAACTCTCAAGTTTTTCAGTTGCCCGAGTGTTTCACCTATGCTATTGAAACGGAACCCAAGTGAACCCTTATTTCCGTGACGTTGTTTTCATGGAGATGTTCTTAATATCCTCTTTTTGTTTAGAGTCAAAATCAGGGCTGTAAAAGAGCATTGTGAATATTCAAACTAAACCAATCGAAAAACAGGGTAATTTAATATAATCAACTGAGTTGATATCGTAAATTGGCCACCGTAAAGAGTTTCAAAGCCGAAGTTTTGAGCGTTAGCCCTCCGTCAGAGCGAATGACAGTATTAGTTTATCCGATCCTACCGACGTGGCAACGTTATTGCTGTGCTTTCCGTCTCTAAATTTCTACCGGGAAAAAAGGAAGAAAATTCCTGGCGCATTTTTCGCCGATGGGGAAGAATGGTAGAAGCTACGAAGCGTCCTGAGCAAAAGAATGCTTCGACTGAAGAAGTCACCGACTATACTCCGGATTTCAATAAAATTATCGGCGATTTTAGTCACCGATTACGACCAGTTCGAGAGCCTGGTGGGTCAGAGAGAGAAAACAAAGTTTTTGAAATCGATAATGAACTTTCCAAATGGTCGTTTGGGTCTGTGGCGGAGATGTTGTTTGACAAAAGGTTTGGATGTCTTGAAGAGGAAATCAACAAAGAGGCACAGACCTTCATTAAAGCCGTCGGAGATTTTCTGGCGAATGCGGTCGAGGTCGGTTTTTTGCCTTCTTGGTTTTACAAGATCTACGTGAACCAGAAACGTATAAAGTTTTTCGAAAATTTTGACACGATGTACGATTAGGCCGAACTATTCATCGGGAGAAGAGTCAAGGAACTTGAGAAGTCATGCAAGCCATCGAAGGAAACAGAGCGTGACCGAGCTGGCTTCTTCAAGTTCCTCCTGGCCGGCGGAAAGCTGACGAAGGATGACCTGTTGGCCAACGTAAGCGATGTTCTGTTTGCCGGAGTTAACACAACTACCTGAAGGCCTGGTTACGTGAGACCCTCCGCCTATATCCTGTTCTCTCCTCTATCCCGCGAAAACCGAAAGAAGACATAATATTAGGGGGCTACCATATCCCTGGGGTCACTGCTCAAGTGGAATTTCTTGCTCACCAAATAGGGCGAGATGAGAGTATTTTTGAAGATGCCGAAGCGTTTAAACCAAAGAGATGATTGCAAAACAAAGATACCGCTCTTATCGAATCAGCAGAAGCTTTCGCTTCTCTTCCATTTGGATTCGGAACACGTATGTGCCTCGGTCGACGTATTGCCGAGTAAGAGCTCCATCTGCTGATGGCCAGAATCGTGCAGCAGTTTGACATCTCTCACACACCGGAGGCAGAGAATGTGGAGCCGTTCATGAGAGGGTCACCATTCATAACAGACCTGTTAGAGTGCAGTTTGTTGACAGAAAATGAGTCAGGTTTTCATGTCATCAAGTTCACACTTCATTGTAACACTGTTTTGAGCTGAGAGTGTGACAAATTCTGATGACAACTCGTTTAAAAAATCCGCACTAATTAGATCGAGGGTGTTCAATAAGTCACATTTAATAAGTCAGTTTCAACCATTTCAGTGATTCCTTACATCTGATGAATAATTTTCTCTTCTGGCTGCCAATCACTTTACATTTTATTTTTCTTTAGAATTATTTAGTTGTTTTACTTGAAGGTCACATCTTCCCGTTAATAAATCTGTGTATTCTTAACACTAGTTCATTAGATAATGTATTTGATTCGGTGTTTTGAAGTACTAGTAAAGTTAACTTGCTAAACTGCATATTTCAAATTCATTTCAACGGTCTTATGAACTATTTTCCTCGCACGCAAATTTTTGTTGCATATGAATATATTTCATATTCTTTTGGTTTTCAGTATGTGCTTAATGTCTTTTAACACGTAGATATGGCACTAAAGTAGCAGACGAAGAATTTGTTGAGTTTCTCTGGCCACTGAAAAGTACTCCCCTAGACAAATTTTCGTTGATAACAAAGTAACCTTTTCCAGGCGTTCAGTTGATACAACGGAGCGAAATAGTAGCCTGTGAGGATACAATGGTATCTACGCATAGGGGTATCCATTAATCCTTTACACCCTAAGATCAGTATGCATATTCTCCATACTGTTTTCCATAAATTTCCTAAGGTGCTGACAAGGAGATTCTGCTTTACAATCAAGAGCTCCTGTACTTGTTGATCATTTCCATAATTCTCAGGACCTTAATGTGTCACTCAGGCGCGATATTGTAAGGAGAAATTAGACGCTGGTCACTCTTAGGGGTTAAAGGTTAAATTGATAAAATTACAGGGGTATCTATGAGAATTGAAGGGTTTGCATTACTATACAACTGTGTCTCTTTTTTCCTTTTTTAAATGTCTATACTTTGGCATGTTAAACCACAATAGATCTTGTAAAAAGCTTTGCAAGAAATTTCCAAAAATGTAAGCTTTTAAAAAACTCACTTTCCAAGTCACACATTTGTTTAAAAGTCTCTTGCATTGACTAAAGAATCACCTTTGATAAAAGATTTAAATAGTTCTTTCCTTGAAGAACTAATCGCCTTCGAAACCTAAAAATTGTCACGCTTCGCTTGGCTTGCTCACTGAACTAATGACTCAAAAAAAGATTGGAGTTTTTTAACTATGAAAATCTTATAAAAAGATAACACAATTCGCTGTCTTGTTTAAGATTATTAAACTTAGCTGTCTGATGAGCATTTTACAGAAATATCTTCCACTGTGTATCGATCCGAGTTGCCCTTCGCACTGAGATGGCGTCCTCTTTCTACAGGCTAGTAATTAATTAGTTCCGAGCTTTACTACGTCTAGTTCATTCTGCTACAGAGGTTTTATCAAAGTCATAGCTCTTAAGGTGCGCTAGGCGTTATTTCTCATCCACTTCCTGGCCTTGTGGAGAGATTCACTGGCGCTTTCACCACGGAACAAATGTTTGTAGAAACAATTCATGAACTGCACTGTGGCAGTGTCATCCAGGGCCCATCGGGCCATCGGAACGCTCGGGCAATGCCGATAACTCCCTCGGTTCTAATCTGTCCACGAGCACTGTGGCAACAACTAATCACCACTAGTTTAGCTCGCAACCGAGTTTTTGAAATATCCGCCATCGTTAAAAGATAATCTTCTTCTCGAGGAAAAGGTGGGAGTAGGGTAGGGTGCTTAGGAGAAAGAGTAATCTCCCCTCTTTCGGCATCACCATGTGTAGCAATGTGTATCAGGCTCACTGAATTTATCGCTTGGAGTACAGAATGCTTTGTCGCGGAATGTTCTATCAAAGGCGTTATGCCAAGAAGTCTTCCAATCATCTCTGCTTCCTTTCTTGCACACGATTATTGTTCAATATTTCTGCACATTCCCTTGTAAATCACCTTTCCAACCACAGGGTCACCCTCTATCAGTGCTCCGGTCTGACTGTGATAGTCTGGAGGACTGTCTTGAACAAGCTTTAGAGTCGTCAGAGAAGGAACTAGTCGAATCCTGCATGTCTCTGATAAATACTTGCTTTCTTCATCAGCCAAGGCTGCAAATGGCACTTGGTACACACAGGAATCAGGGACAGTTATGATTTCGGGCTGCTTGAGTAAACTGGCCAAAGGAGCGATGATTATCTTGTAACACAAGTGAAGACTTGTTTTGAAATATTTGGATCGATCCTCGCAATTCTGTTCGGGTAAAATGGCGCGGCTGCGGGAGGCTTCTTTAAAAAACTCATCCAACTCAGGGACTATACCGGTCACCTTGTTTTTGTCCAGGCTCACTTCCTTTCTGAAAATTGAATGGCTCCCGTTGCTTGAATTATCCAAAACCGTACATCATTTTGACCAACCCAAATGTACAGGCATGCGCAGTCTGCTTCTTTTGTGATGATCTCTTGAATGCCACACCAAGATTTTGGGTCACTTGAGATCTGTTCTTTAACAGAGTACCGAGCTGCTTCCAAATTGGCCAAGCCTCTTGCCCTTCTCAACTCTTCGACGTAAAGGGCGTCTTGAGGCTTTCCAGTGGAAGAGAGCAACCTACTGAACAACTTGTAGGGAAAGGCGTCGTGCTCTTCTAGAAGAGATATTCGAAACTGATCGTTTTCTTTCAGAAAACCTCTCAAAGTGTCGAACTTCTCGATGCCTTGAAAAAGATAGAAGAACCCTCTTCAAAATGACCACTCGACACCTTTAACACCGATAGATCACAAAGGCAGTGAAACTCATTCAAGTTATTTCCAATATCCCTACTTAATAGGAGAGCCTGCTTAACGTATTCTTCGGCCACGTCATATTTACCAAGCGATTGAAAACACAATCCTAAATCGTTGTAGTTGACTACTACTCCTTCTCTCTAACCGATTTGCATGTGAATTGTAAGGGCTTTCTCGTAAGATTCTTGAGCCTTGTCATATTCACCACGCTTACAAGAAGTTTTACCAAGGTGCCTGTAATCCACTGCTTCTCCGCTTCTTTTATTGATACCCTTTCTAACTGCCATTGCCTTCTTTACATAGCCGTCAGCCTTGGCATACTTGCCGAGTGAGAGAAACAAACCTGTAAGGTTTCCATAGCTTGTTGCTTCTCCATCCCTTTCACTAATTTCTATTCTGATAGCAAGTGCTTTCTCCTGATATTCTCGGGCCTTTTCATACTGGCCGAGTAATTGCAACAAATTTTCTAGGTTTCTGTAGCTTGTTGCTTCTCCATCCCTGTCACCAATTTCTATTTTGATGGCGAGTGCTTTCTCCTGATATTCTCGGGCCTTGTCATATTGACAGAGTGATTGGAATACAGTTCCTAGGTTTCCGTAGCTTGTTGCTTCTCTATTTCTGTCGCCAGTTTCTATTGCGATAGCGAGTGCTTTCTCCTGATATTCTCGGGCCTTGTCACATCGATCAAGTGAATGGGACAAAGTTCCTAAGTTTCCGTAGCTTGATGCTTCTCCATTCCTGCTACCAATTTCTATTCTGATAGCGAGTGCTTTCTCCTGATATTCTCGGGCTTTGTCATATTGACCGAGTGATTAGAACACAGTTCCTAGCTTTCCGCAGCTTACTGCTTCTCTATTTCTGGAACCAATTTCTTTTGTGATAGCGAGTGCTTTCTAATGATATTCTCGGGTCTTGTCATATTGGCCGAGTGATCGGAACAAAGTTCCAAGGTTTCCGTAGTTTGAAGCTCCTCTATTCCTGTTACCAATTTCTATATTGATAGCGAGTGCTTTCTCCCGATACTCTCGGGCCTTGTTATATTGACTTTGTGATTGGAACATTATTCCGAGCTTTGCGTAACATAGTGCCTGGCCATGTGTGTTTCCCATCGTTTTCATGATGTTTATGGCTGATTCGTAAAATTTCCAGGCCTCCATTAATCCATTAATTTACTTTATACCTGAAGTACTTGTGCCAGGTCTAAATGTAGCCATCCTTTTTCAGCGGTGTCATTGGAGTCTAGGTATAGGAGGAATTCCCTGAGGTAAATTTACTGTACTTGTCTAATCCTTTATATTAGCGTAAGCACAGATTATTTTCTTGTAGATGGCTCGGAACGTAAAGTTTGCCAATGAACAATCGATAACCCGCGCCTGACTGTGTAATAGAATCAAACATTCCTTGTATATCTCGATGGCTTGCAACACGGGACCAGTTTTTCGAAGGAACTCGGCGACCACTATACCTATGGAGATAGCTGATATGGCTTCTGTTATTCTATCCATCTTGACCCTGTTTCTTCTCAGCTTAGAAAAAGGGAGAAATTAGTGAAAACTTAAACACGGATGGTTTTTAGAAAATCTTTTTAGTTTTAAATTTCAAATTGCAATTTTTATTTTCCCCTCCCCGCCTTGAAGTCTTTTTGTATTCAGAATAGGCGATCGCCCAAATTTCGGACAAAAATTGATGGGGTGTAGTTTGAGGGGACCAATTTTGTTCCCTTTCACAGGCTGCAAATGTAATGACCTTAGAGTAAATAAATATATATATATATTTTTTGCCATATATATGATAAGTTACCCGTTGCGTTCTGGCAAAGAATTATTTAACGACTCAGGAGACAAACAGTCACTCGATACCAACATTTTTATACATTCATGATATCTTCCTCAGCTAGCCATTTTAATATTTAGGAATGGCATTGGAGGGTATGTTGATGACTGGCGAAAAGTTTCATTTTTCACA